CTAAGCTGCATGAAGACAGGTAATTGCAGATTAATATTCCACTGTAATACTTATGCACAAGAGTGCCGTGTTAAAGTTGCCATGGGAAACAAGCCTGAATTTCTTCACTTTTCAGCAATTCACGATCATCCTTAATAAAGGTTTTGGCAGGTGATTTCTAATGCACTGAGCTTTACAGCCACACAAAAACCATGCAAGAAGAAAGCTGCTACGCAGGGACGTCTAGATAGAACAGGCAAGCACATCTCCATTATCCACCTCTGGGTAGGACTGTGACAATCTCCGTTACTGTGTGAGCCACCTTCTGCATTCCCATCGTGGCCTTCAGCTAGGATTGCCTTGATACAGGCTCCACAGAACACCGTTTGAAAAGCACACAGAAGATGCCTCGCAGCGGACCAGCAGTCCCTCCATAACCTCCTCCTGCAGCAGGTTTGTGATATCAGGGACATATTCCTCCTAGAAACTCCTCTGAGCCTAGGCTACAGCTCCCAAGGTGGCTTGCCTATGCCCTATCTACTCACCCCAAGCAGGGAGCTTGGCAGGGACTGCACATCTGTTGCTACGGCCTAAATTTGGTGGAAATCAACATCCATTCCCATTACAAGGTCAGTCTATAAATCACAGCATCTCGGGAGCAGAGACACATCATTCAGTTGTCCGTGCCATGGGAACGAGACCATGGGCAGAGCAGTTCGGGCGGCGCAGAGGCAGAAATCATTGCAGCCACTCCAGCTGCACCGGCCCGCGACTGCGAGCCAGAACCACAAGACGGATGTTCAGGGGAAAACATCTTTAATGCTTTTTTACACTAGCACTCAAGGAAACACAGCCTCAACCCAATTTAACCTTGTCATGCATTTGTACATAATATTATCTTACAGAAAGACTGGCTCCCATGTGTTAATATGCTTTTGCCCATCAGGAAATATATTATGATCATCCAGATCTGTTTGTACACTTAAAAATAAATTAGTAACTGAGCTAATATAGTTATAAGCTATATGAATATCTTATTCATAGTCTCAGTGTTTACGGTTTTATGTTAAAATGGTGAGTGATGTTCTGTATTTATTAGCATGTCCAGTTTCATTTGACAGTAATTATAATTAAAAATTCCCCCCAAATAACTATCAAAATGCAGGCTAAACAAACTTGAAATATGTAGGATACACTAAAGAAAAATATCAAGATATTTTTGTATTTAAAATGTGCTGTTTAAGAGAACAAGGAAAGTATTGTCTGTAATCGATTTATTCTTCCATCTCTGGTCACAACCTTTTTTGGCAATGAGAAGATCTGAACGTTTCATACCTTCCTCTTACATAGAGTTTGGAAGAGGTAAATTTCTAATTCCCAACTGATTATCAAATTTGAGTGAATCTCAGACACTGAAGTCAAGTACCTGAAAAAAATGACATGAAAAAAAGCAACTTCATCACTACCAAAAGCTCATTTAGCAGCTTAGCAACTCCTACGTCCAGTTCTTTCGTCAGGTCAGGGGTCTGATACTCTTTTACACTTCCAGGCAGCAGACATACAAAGGTTGAATTTTATTTGTTTTTCGTTTAAGTGGCTTTAATAGATTACAGTAGAGATTAACATCCTATGTAGAAGCCTAATTTCAAATTCAGCTTTGAACAGATCTGATTTCTACCTTCAGACTTGTTACATTTAAACAAAAATCATTGCTTTTCATCCACTCTGCTGAAGTTGAAGGCAAGATACTTGGCTTGCTGACCAAAAGAGGCACACCCACTCACTGCATTAATAAAATAAGGTTACAGCCAGCCACAGATCTGAGCCTGGGGAGCTCCTTAACACAGTCACTGAAAGCACTGACCACCATAAACACTGGTGTATGCAAGGACAAAAGGACAAAAGAGCGAGACTCCCACTTATTAATGCATCTTCTCTTGTGTAGCTAAAGCACCATATGTACCCAGCTCTACAGGCTGACAGCGTATAAAAGCAGCAGGTACTTACAAACTCTTAGCAGAGAGTAAAGGAAAAAAAAGTCAGGGTTAGAGCTGAAAAATGAAGCACACTACCACCACCGTGGTCCGAGGTCCACTGACCTCTGCAGAACAGCAGCTCCCACCCGACCCCACTGGGCTTTGGATCAAATTCCAAATGCACAAGGTGAGCTTTAAAGAGATGCAAGGGGCCAGCCATAAACATCCCTTACTGCCAACTCCTACTGACCTTTGGCTGGCTAAAACACTACATGACACAGACTGTGCCTCTATTCTTTCAGGTTTTCCCATCTGTCCATCCAGGGCAGTGCAGTTAAACCCCCCACCTTCTTTTCTCTCTGGGATGGCCTCATTATTTATAAATATATCAAAAAAACCCATAAAACTAAGCTGCTGCTTTGTGCATATAAACATATGCTTTGATTTAGGGGCATATCTGTTGAAAGCCATCAGAAGTCAGGACTGCAAGGATGCTACCATTCCTCTGTGGGTGTACAGGGAACATGAAGGACCCTCCATGCCCAACCCAGAAGTGGTAAAGCAAAGGGCAGCAGCCAGAAGGAACTCAGTCAGCGGTCCCAGCCACTGCAGCCATGATGCAGACAGCTTCCCAGGGGAATACCACTGTCCTTGACCCTCCTTGATCCCCATTATGGAGGCCATACCACGAGACCTCGGAGAGCGATTGGGCAGCATGAAAGGGAATGGAAATGAAGGAGTCTTCAGGGCTCCCAAATGAGCCTGAAGGACTTCCCCAGGGATAAAGCCAGCGAGGCTGCTGGTTGCAGAAGAGGACAAGTAAATACAGTGGGAGGGGGAGCAGATGTGGCAGTCACACACCTTAGTGTAGATAAAAAGATAGCTCTTTCAGTAGTTTCTGGTAAGAAGCCAGAATATTTTGAAGAGCAGTTAGTGAGAAATGTTAAGTATGCCGCACGGTGGCAAATGTGCTCTGCAAGACTTTTAGGCTGAGCTGGCTGAATTTACAGCTATGCCTACCCACTTAAAGTAACCTGGATCACAGCTTAGCTCTGTGCGTGCAGCCTCCTCACCAAATCCCAATGCATTTGAATTTCATTGTATCTAGGCTTCTATTTTGCAGGTATTAAAACAAAAGCAGAAAAAGGATCAAGATCACAGCGAAGATCAGCACCTGACCATTCTTAGCTCCCAGGCCTGTCCTCAGTCCAAAACTCCAAAACCCGTCTGCCACTGCTCCAGTAGAAGATCCTGCCACTAAAACCTTGCACAAAACATCGCTGAAATACATGGCACAGTTTGCTCACCATGACACACCACCAAGCAGTGAAGAGGATAAAAGCCATGCTGGTCAGCAAAAAGGTAAGATGTAGGTAGGGGCATCAACTAAAGTCTAATTTTATAAAGTTGCCTGACTCTGGCAGGCACCTTCAGCCTTTCCAGCTACAGCGAGTGATTCCCATGTAGCAAAAGCCATTTCTTTATTTGTCAAACTAATTTGTTGGTGAGGATATGAGGGACTGACAGCCCTTTCCACACACAGTATGATGTAGACAGGCACTGAACACAGTAGACTGGAAAAACAACACTGAAGAACATCTCCACCTTAAAGGTGCTATCTCACCAACAAAATATATAGCAGATCTGCATTGGCCCAGACCATTACTTTCCCCGGCAAGGACTTGGGGACAAAGCTCCTTAAAACAGTAGTAATCATATTCCACTCATGCTCCTTTTTACTGCTAGCTGTAAACTAGCTCCACATGCATCATGGTTTTGCATCAAAATGTGCACAGACCAAACCCATACCCAAAGGGACAAGGTAGATCCAATTTACAGCTTTGACAGGTCTGTGCACCCGAGGCAGAGCGTGCAGGAAATAGCCTGACATCTCACTTGGAGAGCGGTTAAGACCCTGCTAGCAGAACTGGATGCAGAGCCACAACAGCCTCCCACAAAGACCCAGCAAAAGAGCAGGGAATTTGCTGTCCATTTTTCAAGAAACATGAGAAGCAGGCGGCACTCACCAAGGCACTATTGGGGAAGAGAGAAGTCAAGTTTGATCCTGACTTGCAGCATCCCTTTGACAGGACAAGCCCAAAGGAAACCACAGCTGCACTGGGAAACGAACACACTGTATGGAGTCACTTCAGTAATGAGATACCACACTGAAAACCGCTTAGCCTTTACTATATTCGAAACAAAGCAAACAGAAGTTATTCCGACCCAATGCTATATTACCAGCAATACCTGTAAGAGGCCAATTGCTTGGCAGAGGAGGCTGAGAAGTCCGAGTTCAATTTAGAGACTCAGAAATTCTGTTTGTTTGTTACCAACCCAATATCAGTGTGTTTTTTTGATTTTTAGCATGGTTTTCTAATTTAAATGGAAAACTTAGGCCCATCATGCTGACAACTGAAAATATATTTACTAACATGCTCTACACTACTATGGAAGAACTGTCTGCAGAAAAACCTCTGTACTTCATCTGGATCTCTGTATGTCTCAAGTGGTAGGGCACTGGAAGACCTCTCTGAAGCTGAACTCTTCCTGTCTCATTACACTCCAGAGTTAACACCCAGGCAAGATAACTTCATCAAGATCAGATAGCTCCAAACTACTGTCCTTCTATACTTGGAAACACCACTATGTTGCACATATTCATGTGCTAACATGCCTTTTTCCTTGCAGAACCAACAAGGCTGCCATGAGTACTCTACTAATGCAGGTGCTCAGCCAAAAAATTTTAGACCCTCACCAGTTCAGGCAGATGACAAGCATACATGACAAAGATGCTTTCAATAACACATGAATTGTCACTTCCTTGATGGAAATCAGGCTCCTTCATTTCATTCCCACCGAATGGTCCTGACATTGCTCCTGAGAGAGCAGGTGACTGGCGAGAGCCCTGGAGGACCAGCAACAGAAAGGAGGCGGGACAAACCAGAGAAAACGAGCGAGCCAGCACTGTGCTTTTTCCTTCTGCCTCTCAGAACAGCCGCAGCAACTTGCAAGGGGATAATTTCAACAGGATTGACTATTTACCTGAGGATGAATCTGTGGTTTATCACACGTAGCCTCAAAATCCAGCACTAAGAAGTAGTGATATCTCTGTGGAGGGAAGGATGACATTGCTGCCATGGAAGCTCCAAAGCCGTGGGACGCCAGTTTCCTGCTTACGATGGAGCTGTACCCTCTGAGAACACCAGCCCGGAGGAGGGAGCGCACAGCTTGTCTTGCCCTTGGAAGTAAGTTTTGGGGAAACTTTGCTGCTCCAGTATGGAGGAGTGCTATCATTGAACATCCAGAGGCATCTGAAACTGAAGACAGACTCACGTTACTCATGCACACGTACATCTCATCTCTGCTAGTATCTCTTCACGGTCATCCTCTGACAGGGATTTCCTCTGTGCTTCCCAGTGGAGGTTCCAGCATCACAAACCTGAAATAACACAGTAACCTGCTCTAAGCACAACAGATGACATTTGGACTGAGCTCAAGGTGTCCAGAATCACAGACAACTGGAAATTAACCTCTGCAAGTGGCTCTAAATTAAGAACTGAGATACACAACAGTCATGGCTCCAGGCACCAGATCACACCCCCCTGCTGAACCTTATCATAGCAGAACACAAAACAGACCATTTAAAACATAGAAAATCTGATCTAAACCCCATTGACATTTCTGAGGAGGCCTTTGGTCTTTTCATATGCAATGCAACTTCTGATACATGGTAGGAATTGAATACAGCAATACACATATCAACACTACAACCCATCCAAACAGCTTGGCCCTGAAACACCTGTTAGTTGCACCAAAACCTCCCATTTCCATTACAAATCCATGTCTGGCGGCTGGAAGGCTCCTCCCCAGGGAAGTTCTCATTTGCTCTGTGTACTGCAGGAACTGTAAAATGCAAGGAGGACTCTCTAGGTTACAGTCTCCCTCCCAAACAAATCCCTCACCCAGCCATCACCTTCTGATGCTTCTATTTAACAAATGCTATTTAATAAATTTCATTATCCACATGAGACTACCTGGATTTCCCCTCCCTACGCTTTTTCTTTTAAAACATTGCAGGAAAAACTTGACAGGACTGTCACTGCCCAAGGTGAGTCAGCCTCAGGGCTGTTAATAGATTTATTGGGATGAGAGTTCAAGCCCAACTCATGGAGGTGTTACATAGCTGGGTAGAGTGACCGATAGCAAAAGAGGTGAATTGAAGCAACCCAGTCCTCTCAAACAAGGATATGAGTACCCCCTCTAACTGTGTGTGTGTATATATATATATACACACACACCCCTCGCTACATAGATATTTAAATCCATCCCCACAGTTGGTCCCACTCCTCATGGCTCCGGGCAAGAGTTCCATCGCACCACGTGCCCCCCACCCGCCTGGTTTCCACACCCAGCCTCCCCACGCCTGCGCTTACTTTTTGCTCTGCGGTGAAGGGCTGGATGCGCCCACTGCCACACATGGAGCCGAAACGGGCAAGGCGAAACGGAGGACTCGCCGCCCATGAACAAAGTTGCTGTTTGCACAAAAGACAGCGTTTGCTCTCTCCCATCCGTTAGTCCGTCAGGTAAATAATGCACGTGCCAAAACACACACTTAATGAGGTAAATAATATGCCTCGAATAATGGCTAAATCTGTATTTACCTGCGAGACCAGAGAAACTCAGAAGGACCAGATTAGGAGATAATTGCAGTTGAGCAGGTTGTGTGCTTCGAGTAAACATGCATTTGGTAACCTTCCCTTTTCAAGGTTTTGAGTGAAAGGCAAAAATCAAAGGAGCTGAGATGTTTAACGCTGAGCCCCTGCCCACGCTGCCAACTCCATGGTGTAAATGCATCTCCACCTTGTGGCTTTCACATTTTGGGGGGCTGCTTGCTTTATTCAAGCAGTGTGCCAGGGAGCAGGTACCCAGAAAACTGAAAACTCAAGTTACAAAACCATAACGGAGAGCCCAACATTGCATTTATTCTAAAGGGGCTCAGTTCTACCTATTGCTTTTCCATCCACAACTTTTACTGTCATTAATAAATGCGTTACAGCCAAATAGAATTTAGCTATATTCACTTCTAACCTGCACCAGATAAGAGATATTTAAGGTATACGTGCTTTAAATCTTCAAGCTACTGGCTATGAATCTAAAGGCCCATCACAGCAAATATAGTATCTCAGAATAAAGCAGCTTGTAAGTTAGTTGTGGTAAAACCTGGTCTTTAGCCTGCTGCATAAAGTAAAATATACAGTTGGAGTGGGGGAGGCAGGCAGGCTCCAACCCCTAAATCAAACACATGCAATAAAACATACATTATCCACCCACACAGAGCAAGATCAGTACTTCTCTAATGTATCTTAACTGGCAAGATTAGGGCATCAGACGTAAACCCCATGAATCTTCAGGCTGGCCCACACCATGCACAGCAGTGCAGAGGTTCCTGAGCCACTGAGTCCACACGGCAAAGGTAAACCAGCCGTCTTGGCAGGATTCAGGTATGTCACCACGCAGACACAGCAGCACCACTCCAGATCCCAGCAGGTCTGTGTCACACACATACCATGGCACATCAGCAGAGGGAAATAACAGCCAACATCTATCTAGTGCCTGTTTACGCTAACAACTTCTGCAGGTGGTCCATGTCAAACGACAGGACCAGGCTCCTCATCCTAAAAGCAGCCTTCCTCCCCACTCTCCCGGGTAGCAGAAGGAGCAACAAAGCTCTAAACAAAGGTGTGCAAGTGGGGTATTGTATGCTGATTCCCCTACACAGACAGCATACAAATAAGAGCAACCCCACTGCAAACTCTGCACCTTCAGCCCAATGAAGTTTTAACTGTGTGTTTACCCAGCCACTGCTCGAGGTGCCCTGGGAAGACCTCACATCATCTTCTTTGGCAAGGTCAGAGTGCCTCAGAGCACAAGATAGCTGGTGAGCAAACACACTTATTAGAAGTCATGTAAAGCATTCAAAACGGCTGTGACAATGCAAGGCACTAGTAATTATCCTGTATTTTTTTCCAACGGTCAACAATGCAAGCAACACAGCTTCAAAAATTAGAAACCCGTCTCTATCCATATAAATCCACATGTTCAGTGATTCCATTTCCAAACCTACGTAAAACACCACATATATATTTCTTATGCACACAGGTTCAGATTATAATCTCAGACAGCGCAAGCTGTCACATCTGGCATTCAACCTTACTGGGTTAATATTTCATATCACACAGCTCCAATTCCTTATACAGATACGTATGAAACATAATGGGACCACGAACTGAGGCTGGACCTCAGGAATTATTTTGACAGATTGTACACAGACCTAGGAAAATGTGACAGCACTTTACATTTGCAACACCCAATAACACGGGAAATGGCCACGTGTGGTGGGCTTCGGCTGGAAGATAAAGTTCACGTTATGTGCTGTGTAACAGCGGGTGCCACACGTGACATCAACGGCTATAATCAGCAACTGTCTTTTAAAAATAATTAAAAAAAAATTAAATCTCTGGACATCAGCCGCAGGTAACAGGACAAGCTCAGGCTGACTACAGCTCTCGCTTGTTAGTGGTCCAAGCACATGATACTAAAGCACGACAGTTTGATCACCAGCAAGTAAGGAAAGCCAGGAGAAAGCCAAGCGCCAGCTGTAGCTGCCGGCTTGCCAGGGGCCCCACCGAGCGCAAAACAGAGAATCTGCACTGGTGGCTGTCACGCTCCAGGCTTCCCACCGGGGAAGCCGCTTAGGGGCAACCACAAGCGGCAAGGAACAAGATGAGGAACTCCCACCACGTGAAGAACACTGGTGACAAAAGCCAGCAGGGCATTACAAGTGCTCTCCCCCACCTGCGGAACAGCCCCAAAGCCACATACAGAGATGTGCACCACGCAAGTTGCAGAGGATTCAAATTCATCAACGGTGAGACAAATTAGCCTAGGAACTTGAGCTTAATGGGCTCTTTGCACATAACATTAATATTTACTTTTTACAACCACATCTAATTAAAATCACCTGGCAGCAAGAGAAGGCATAACTTTAACAGCTTGCCTTTAACCCCAAAATATTTCACTTCACTGTCCAGTTTGATAAGCTGATGTAGGGAGGGGGCAAGAAGACAAAAAACTAAGTTCAGGTTAGAGGGGTCACCCAAGAAATTATATGTTTTACGAGAGCCTGTGTTTACACGTTAGATTACTTTGTTACAGCAAACAAAAAAGTAAAGTTTGTCATAAACAAACAAAAAACCCCTGACACTAATCTAAAGGACAAGACAAACTAAAATTAAAAAATAAAAGCAAGCAAGCTTTGGGAGTCATACGCTTCAGTTCATTGCCTGTGCAAAGCCTGGGTAGGGGCAGCTGTGACTCCTGGCCTCCTACAGACAACTGAACTCAAGGCTAGAGCAACCAAAACCAATCCAAAATGTAAGTCAGGTTTGTCTTATTTTATTAAATTATAAATATAAAGAGTAAAAAGATAGGGTAATAAAGATGCTTTTTGTAGAACAAATTGCATACATTTAGCAACACCTGGAACACAGTATAACAAAAAAAATGCAGGACTTCCATTTTGGTAGCCATTCAAATGCATACTCAGAGGTCAAATGTGAGCCCATATTTCAGTTGTGTGAAGATATAACTGAAGAACAATAGAGATAACTATTTTTTTTTAAATCAACCTTAACCTAAACCCAAATATTTCATTAGATGAACTACAGTCTAAAAATGACAGCACCTGGCTAGCCTGCAAAGCAGGAAATGAGAGACTATGAACAAAACCAGCTTATCCACTGTCACCATCCAAACTTGCAAAAAAAAAATACATAAAGTAAAACAAACAACAAAACACAAAGCTTTTGGAACCGTTTTAATAATGTAACATAATTTTAGACAGGTAAATTTGCTTCTTTAATTTGTTAACCTCACAGTATCATGCCTTGAACATGAATCCAGTACAATTCCACAGTTGCACTCCCTTCACTTTTGGTTGGGGCTTGTCTCTGGCACTGCTAGACAACCAAGCCCGCGTTTTGGAAAATTTGTAATGTAACTTTCCCAAAGCACTGCCATGGGATGCCTATATGCTGTCCCATCATTACTCAGCTCAGATACAACTTGGCATCAATCATTTTGTTTTTACAGCACTCCACAATCGCACCCAGCCTCTTCCCACTAGAGATGAAGAGGACCCTGTTCTCAAGAACTTACAGTCTAAAATTAGATGCAATACAACAAGTGAGGGTAACAGCAGAGAAGAATGAGGGTTACAGGAGCAAAGTCAGGCAACCGCTCATCCGAGAGATA